ATGAAAACCATTCTCATTTGTACAAACTGTACAAACCACTCTCATACGTCGATTTCATTGTTTAATCTTGTAATTTTTTCATGAAATTGTTTCATATAATACTTTTTTGATGAATTTGTTTCGTATATGGTTATGAAATTGTTTCATATAATATTTAATGAAACTGTTTCATATATTTCTTTAAAATTAAAATAATGAAGATGATAATATCTATGATTAAAACCCTCCACAATAAAAATGGTTAATCAATCTCTCATAATTACAAAAAAAATGAACAAAATGAAAAATTATGATTGGTTAAATGAGATTTGCACGGTTTATACAAATTGGGTGGTTTTTATTTGAACACTCCTATATATATGTATTTAATATATGGAGTTGAATAAATGGACATATTTCACTATTCACGACATCAAGACGTGTATTCAATCATCTTAGACTTTACCCAAATTACAAATATACAAAAATTATTTCGATTTTAAAATATTATTTTCCAAAATCTAACCCACATGACGTCCTGCAAAAATACGTTTATTTATTTTAAAAACAATATCACATAAATAATTAATTATACACAATAAAATAGAATAAATAAAATCCAAAGTAAATGGAGACGTATTAATAAAAATTTACACATTATTGTGTTATCAAATAATAAATAAATGAGATTATTTAATTATTTAAAACAAAACATTTTATATTATTTTTGTATGTATATATTGAAGTCAATATCATGAATTAATTTGGAGGTGGTGAGAAAGACACCGTTGTAGGCGCCGAATTTCGAGCAATAGCTTACACTCATGTGAGGTACGTTTCCGCTTTCATCTAATTACTAAAATATGAATTAAAAAACAAGGCATGTTTGATTGGTTTGAGTTTTGTCTACAAAAGTCAAAAGTATCTGCAGGTCATATGTTCAAATTCAAGTAAGAATAAAAATATATTCTTGTAGCTATGGAGGTTCAAATGCGGTGATTCTGGGCCCGCAAAGCAGGTGGTCGTCCTGAGATTAATCGACTCGCATAGCAGATTGAATATTCAGATTAATAAAAAATGAAAATACTATTGAACTTTGTTATTTTGATGATTAAATCATTGAACATATCTTTTTTGAATAAATAAATTATGGTACTTTTTATAAATTAGTTATCTATATCATTTTAACCAAAAAAAGCGTACATGTAGATTGGTTACAAAGGTTTTAAAGTAAAAAAGATCTAAATCAGTTTTACCGTTACCAAACATTATGCCATACAAACCCTTGGCACTCAACGCCATCACTCCCCCTCGCCACCTTCGAAGATCTCTTCTTATGTTTCTCACCATAACTTCTCTTTCTCATTGGAACCCCGAGAGAGAGAGAGAAATAGAGAGAGAGAGAGAGAGAGAGAGTGTGTGGAGGTTCAAACGAGAAAACCTCTATTTTACTCACTTTTATTGCATGTGATAATACACATGAGGGGACCTGATGGTGTGCGGACATCGTGCCCTACAGATTAAGTCGCGCCAAAGGTCGTCTACATCTGTAATTTAGTATCACATGTTGTAACAACCATAAACTCAAAATAACCATAACATATCTATTCCCCTAAACGGCAAGTACAAATATTATGATAGAGACAACAATCTCAGTTACATCTCATGAGTTGTAATGGAAGTTGAAATAATACTACTGAAATTTATTACTGAATTTAAACTTATGTTTAAGGCAACTGCCTAACTAAAAGATAAAGCCCACCTTCCAGCCTTAGGGCTCACACATTTCTCTTGTCCTTGTCAGAACTCTCGAAATGATATTTTCCTGAAAATGTTTTCAATTTTATAAGAACCAGGGATAGAGTGGAGCTCTAGTGAATTCCCTCTACCAGAACAGTTTAAGCTTAAAACAATGCTTTCAAACATAATTGAAATGAACAACTAAATACACTTTGAATTGTAAGTCACACTGACACACGTTGCAAAGGTTGAACACGCTCATGGTATGCACACATGTGACCAACCACTTGATTCACAATGCCCTTAATATGAGCTACATTTAAGGAATTCATTTGCTGCATTCGGGTAAACACCTCTCATTGTTCAAGACATCACCAGACACATACCCATACAAAGGACTCACATATTGAAATAACTAACTCTTGAGTATATAATTCTCATAATGTGAATTCAAGATAAATAACAATCTCAACATAGATGGCACGTATTCAGTTACCCAAAAATATTAAGAAGAAACTCACATGAGGTTCAAGCGCAAACACACACCCTTAGGCTAAGAGTTATCAACCGAACACCTGAATTAGGGTTGCCAAACAACAAGTTATACTCCAAGTTAACCTTCAAATGAACCACTAATAATCCCCTTAGGTAATGGCCCAAACTATCCCTTACGCGAAATTGGAAAAACACATGAAACAGTAGCTCACACGGCCTAGGTCCCGAGGCTACCCATGTGAACCATTGTTCCTGCACAGTCCTTGCTCGAGATTTATAGCTCCACACTCAAACCCAACCAGTTTCTTCGACAATTAAGGTAAAAAACTCACATTAGAATCAACATTTAAATCATCCTCACACCCTCTCTAATCCACTCACATAATATAATCCAAGGATTACACTACCAAGCGGTTAGATTAAACCCAAACTATAGAGCTTTGGATCAATTCTACTCAAAAACACCATGAGAGGTTGATGTAAACCAAAATCTCAGATGAAGCTTAACATTAAAAGGGTTTTCATTCACTAGCATCATTTTCCCAACCAAAATCGTCCAAAACATTAAAGAACCTTAACTCCCAAATTAAATATCGTCAATAAAAAGAGGAAAACATTGATGAAAGATATTCTTACCTGAGATAGAGAATCAGATCTCGTGATCTCCTTCAAACCTCCAATTGCCTCCTTCTCCACACCTTTCTCCCTTCTCACAATCGTACGCGTACACACACCTTTTAGATTTTCAACCGATCACACGAGCAGAGAATTGAAGACTTATCCTTTTAACCTAATATTCACACTCTAGCACAAATAAGGTCACACTTCAACTTCACCCTTCAACATCATTAAAATACCCAAAACTGGAACTTGGGTTATTTAACATGTGACGAATTATAGTATCACATCAAGAACACCCCTTATCACTTGTGATAATACATGTGAGGGGGTCGAGTAGTTTACAGATGACTTGTCCCACAATCTAGGTCGCGCCAAATGTTGTCCACGTCTCTTGATTTTAGTATCACATATGTATCATAGATGATGGAATATAGTATCACATGTGCTTGACTATATTAAAATGGGTTCTTGCATTATTGTAAAATGAAAGTGTTCTCGTGTGAAAACCTTCCCTATATATTTACAGGGTTAGGTTCCGGTGAGAATGGAAGTTATAGTGAGAAGGGTAAGAAGGGATTTTCCACCCTTTGCTCAATCATAATTGAAGATCAATTCCCGTATCAAGCGCAATTCATGGGGTTGGGGTAAGATTAAAATTGATCAAGGGTCCAAATCCCCTCTTACGCTTCTCACTTTAACTTTTCACACAATCTTTCGTGTGTGTGTATATATATATATATATATATATATATATATGTATATGATATATTTCAAATACAACCAATCGCATTGTTACAACCAATGCAACCCCAATTCAAAGCGTCCATTTAACACTTTCCTTTTTTTCATTCTGTAAATTGTTAAAGAGTGATATCAGAAATTCTAAATATAACATAATTATTGATTTTTACTTTTTTTATAATAATTATCCATAATTAATGAGATTGCATTAAAAAAATATACAGATATCCTAGTTAATACACGTATCTTGCTTCATCGATTTTTTCTAAAATGCTGCATCAATTTATTTTTCCAAAGATGGTCTCTTCCTTCATCGTTTCTTTCCAGTGATGATCTCTTCTTTTCTCTTCTCTCCTGACAGGAGCAATGCCTGCACCCTTATTGCATGAATCTTGTTTCATTTTATTTATAGTAATTAATCTAACTGCATTATTATGTTTATGAAGTGAATCTTGTTTCATTGTTTAATCATTTTTTAATATTAATGCATTATTATAATCTTAATGCATTAGTATAAGATTCATTTCGAAGTGAATTTGAATACGGGGTTGAATATGTACGAAATCTGGAATGAATTCAAATGCATTACAGTTGTGTTTATAATTACTTTACATGGATGCATTTGGAAAATCACATGAATCAACATCATTGCCAACATCAACTTCATGAAAACGTCTTCTAAGACTCTTGCAAACTTCATCACCTCCAACAATCAACGATTGCGTTGAAGAACCGACTTTGTCGCTTAAGTGAATAAACCAATCTTCGGATTCCAAAACGTCTCTCATGTAAACTTTGTTGACAGAATTTAATGGATCCACTAATGCTAATTTTAAATGCAAGCGAGAAATTAAGTACCTTAATACGAAATCACCGTAAAAAGTTGTTGAAGGAAGAGACCATCACTGCAAAGAATCGATGAATTAAGAGACCATCTCGAGATCAAATATCTTGAATCTCTACTCACTACTTTCTTCAATCTTCAAATAATTCTTGTTCGACTTCTTCAATCTTCAAATAATTCTTGTTCGACTCACCGTGTATGCGAATGAAAGTAAGGATTTACCTATTTAGGGTTTTAGTTTTTATATTTTCTTTTAATATTTATTTAAGTCTTAATTGTCATACGTAATTATTATTTATCTCCGAAATTATATGTTTATATAAAAAGTTAAAAAAAAAAGCATGCTTTACAAAATAACGCATCGTAACGTGCCATTACGCGTCATAACGCATCGTAACGTGCCATTACGCGTCATAACGCATTTATAACGAAAGCCAAGTCAAGCCTTGGCGCCATAACAAAGCCGTAACAAGTTATTGAAAACCATGGTCAAAATCAGTATAATTAAGGAATCATTAAAAGGCATCGATAAAATATAACAAAAAAACGCTTTTGTATATCGTTATTATTATTATTATTGTTATCGTTATTATTATTCACGTCTACAAGCCATAACAAATTCAAATTTACATGATATGTACATTTTCGTTTGGCTTGTGACAAAAAAATCACCTACACATTTTCGCTAGACGTTATTAATGGAATCGACAGAAACAGCCTTAGCGGTATCCATGTGAGTCAACCGGCATGTCCCGAGAAGGACTTCTGGTAGCTCGTCTTCTGTGTTAGCCTGCAAACAATACGATCAACGGTCAAAATCCCAAAGTACAACTACTTGATGCATCATCGACCACCGCATAGTACAACCACATAAAGCTTACTTGTATTAAGAAAGCCATTTCTACGATCAAGTTGTTCAAGTAACCAAGGACAAGGTTCACCACACCTCGAGCCACGGTGGATGATCCCACATCAATGTCAAGCTGCAACAAGAAGTCAATAAGTCAAACCTACTGCTTTCTAAATTCAATTCTGATGCTGATTCTTTAACGCAATCGATATCAAATCTTTACGTTTATGGTCTCTCTTAACAGTTTAAACGAAATTGACGAAAATTCTTAGAGAATTTTGAAATAATCGAGTGAAATTTGAAGTTTGAGATTTAGTTTGTTTGACCTTCAAAAGTCAAGGAAGATTGTAATTACCTCCAAGTAATTCTTGCCGCGAAAGTAGTTTACTTCGAGTGCTTGACCAACCAAACACGCTTTCCTCCCGACACTCTGCTTTACCAACCACGATCCCTAAGAAACAAACCACCATCAATGCAAAAGCTTCATTAAACGATTGGGCTTAAACAAACATCAAAAAAGGGGCGACCCTGGTGCACGAAGACTCATCGAACTCATAGGGTCAAAAAGACTACTTGCATTGGTGCACTAAGTGAGCGTTTGGTATGTAGACAGGACTGTCCATACAAGAGTAAGGTAGGCGGGTGAAAGAATTCTGAAAGGTTTTAATTTGAGTAGTTCAATAATTTACCTGTCTTGTCCCTCTCCCCAATTTTTGTTCGGCCAATTTTGGTACGACAAAAAAAATGCATTTTTGTCTCACTTGTCTTGTCCCGGTTTTATGTCACATAAAACGTAGGACAACAAGTTTTTGTACTGTACTTGCTCATTCTGTACCGCATACCATATGAACTCCAAAGGGTTCACAAGCTCATTGGGTCAAGAAGTTGAGATTTGGGAGTAACCTTAGATATGTATGGTATGAGCTTAAATCTTGAATTTCTAAACGCATCATCTCCGTTCACAAAGCGTTCCAGTAAAGGAGATTCTTCCAACGGAGTTTTCGTCATGTAATATAGAGACAGATTGTACGTAGTCGTGCCAGGGACCTGATTTACGACACAAAATTAACCCCCAAAGTTTCCACATTATCGACTTAATGATATAACAGTAAAAATACAAACCTGTATGTTGATGACAAAGAAAAACTCAGGTCCATCTTGTGCTGCATATTTCTGCAAAAAATCGCAATACGTTTAATGGCAAACAGAAATCTTGAATGAAACACGGACACGGGTGGGTTTTTACCTGCACAATGCCTCCAGACCGGCCTGCAAGATCATCTTCACGTTTATCAGATTGTAGCCAGTCTGCACCAATCATTTCCATCATCGTCCCCTTTGCCTTGTTCTGCAGCAATTATGAAAATTTCAGCAAGTGAAAGAATAACAACCTTCGGGTTGATTTTGATTTTGATTTTGATTTTGGTTTTGAAATATAGTGAAAAGAAAGAGAACCTTTTGGTTGTCTTTGAGATAATTCGGTCCCCGAACAAGAAACAACGAAGGATCAGAAGCTGCCCAAGAGCAAGCCGAGTTACAGGTCAAGTCTTTTAGAAGAGTCGAGCCATAGTGATTCGATACAGCCAAGTTGCCAGAGGCATCTTGTAACTCCACGTAGCCCTTCTTTTGAGCCGTAAGACCATGCAATTTTTTCACAAAATCAGCAGCTGTCGGCAGTTTGGGCTGCCAAGAATGGCATAAAAGAAGAAGGTATAAATTAGAATCAAGAATATACGAAACCAAATGCTCAAACTTTCTTTCGACATTTATAAGAACAAATACCATTAAGGAACTCCCTTCTTCTTCTTCCTCCTCTTCCTCTTCCTCCTCCTCTTCTTCTTGTTCTTTTTCTTTTTCTTGTTTCTGTTCTCGTGCCCGCTCTTGCTCGCCTTTTGTAGGTTCAGGGACGTCAAAAAACTCATCTGAGGCATCATTTAATCCAACAAGACTTGATGAACCCGAAACTGGTGCATCTTTTGCATCTTCCATTTTCTCGTCATCTAATTGTATCAGATCGGCTTCTGGTTTGCTCTGCTCTTCACCCGTTTGAAGTGACTCAACCTCTCCGGTTAAAAACTCAGAAGGGAATTGGTCTCCTCCTTTTGCTCTAAATAGTTCTTTCAGTGCTGAACAACACAAAAAGAAACAAAAGGGTCATTGGCCAAGAGGTCAAAGGGTTCAAACCACACCAAATGCGAGCGGTGTGCGTGAATATTTGCCATAAATAGAGATTATATATACTTCAAAAAGGAAGAACAACAAACGATGAATCTTACGGGAGTCTTAAGTAAAGGAGTAAATTTGATGAAGAATAATACCAGAAACTCTGCCAAGCATACGTATAGTCATGGATCGAGCAGATGTTTTTGGCAAATACGTTCTCCATAACTTCCAATCGATGGAAAGCATGTGTTTGACGACACATTCCTTTCCTTCATTTAAAGGACTGACCACGAACCCGCCACCTGAGCAATAAAAATCGATGATTTTAGCAAACTGTTAGAAATCACTTGAATAAAATCTTGATATTTAAAAGCATACATTACTTTGAAGCCAAGCTCGAACATAGCCCTGTTGTTGTGGACAATTGTTATGGATCACAGAATGACAGAGAATTACTGTCAAAAAGAAAAGAAATTAAAACATAAGAGCATTCGTTACTTTGTTAGAAAAAAGCGAAAATCCCGTCAATAATACCATAAGTTCCATCATCTTCCCTTCTCCAGTATCGTCGCAAAAGTAAATCTCTTCGACTCATCCCCCTGAAAACCACAAGTCAGTATCGGTGCAGTAAAGGTGCATTGGGTACACGAGTGGGACTAGGCTGGACTAGACAGACAAGGGTGAGGTAGGCGATTGGAAGAATCGTTGAAGGTTTTAGGGTTTCAATTTGACATGGGTAATTAAATAATTTACCAATGTTGTCTCATTTCCCTGATCTTTGTTCTGTTTATTTTGGTAGGACAAAAAAAAATGCATTTTTGTCATATTCAGTCCCATTCCGTCCTGTCCCGCATACCAAATGCACCCTAAATATCTTGCTGATTGTTATACAGACTCGGGGTTCAGACCATGGTAGCCAGTCTCGGCATAGCTGAATGTGTATTATGTCTGTATGACCGTCAAGGTGCTCAACCACGCTGCCACGATAGAAACAGAAGTCCCATCTGGAAAGGCGTTCAATGGAAGTGTGAGACTATTAGCTAAAGATTTAAAATAACAGAAGAAATCTTGTAACCAAAATCAACGTTATCAATCTTACTCAGATCTAGAGAGGCCAAGTGACATGAAAGTCCTGAAAACAGCCTCCGAAGTTCCCTCAATGACACCAACAGCCATTATAGACGGATTATCACCTGAGGCCTGTCGATGGCAACTCATACAAATTCAGAAAATGAAAGCGGCGTATACTTGGTATGCTTTAGCAAAAAGTAAAACCTACCCGTTCACTTGAATTACCATCTTTTGCTTCTTTGAATAGCCGCAGCCCTGCAAACATAGTAAGAAGCACTTGAAGAGCATCTAAGATACTCGTTGGGAAGAAAGACACTTTTTCAGTCCCAAAGGTCAAATGGCACCAAAATGCCACCAACTTTGCCTTCGTTCTTATTATAGAGAACCAACTTTCAAAACTTCTCTTTTTTTGGGAACCAAATTGGAACCTTCTTTGCTTTTGTCCCTATTTTAGGGGGAAAAGAATTTGGTCATTGGCTCTTTAAACGCGAAGTTTTGAAAGTTGGTTCTTCAAACTAGGAATGAAAGCAAAGTTTGTTTCATTTTGGAGCGTTTTCCCTTTAAAGAATCCATGTTAAAGTTACATATTCACCCATTTCATCCACAAATGTAAATGGTTGACAATAATTTGGGCTCACAAGAATCCTTTTTGTAAGGTGTTTCTTGTATTTGGCAAATGGTTAAATATTGCAACGTTCAGATGCTGGAGCGCCCAAAATTATCGTTGTCAAACGAGTCACTTTTAGGTTGCAAAAACCAATAAAGATTTAGAGGGAAAAAATGCATAATGAAATACACTAAAAAAGGACTACCCATGACAAGATTCTCAGTCTTGCAAGTAAGAAAGATGCGATTTTGGATTCGAAAATTGATTAGTTTGACCAAAAGATTCAAAATCTACCTCTTTTATCAAAAGGGGGTAATAGTTATTCATTTTCTTACCATTTTTACAACCAAAAATTTTCCATTGTGAAGGAGCAATCACATCGGACGTCATAGCATCAGAATTTGCAGACGAGGTCCAATCCACTGAATGCTTATGAGTGGTGCTCTTAGAGTCGCTCAATCTGCCAACACAAAAGTTTGATACAGATTAAGGGAATAGATTCATTGAAATCTTTTTAATGGTCTTTTTATGATTAAGTGTACCTAAATGGCTGCCATCTTCTCTTAGAATTCGTTCCCGGTTCCATTGCAACATCCTGTAAAGAGTGTATCCATCTGGCAGCTTCTTCCGGACAGCTTGCTCCTAGCTGTGGAATAAAAATCTTTAAGATGGTCTACAGCACGTAATTATGACACCAAAAATAGAAAGTTCTTCATGAAAACAGTGTCTTACCTTAAGAGAATCATTGTGATTTGAGGTATTGTAAAGGGTGAAAATGAAAAACACCTGTTTATTGCAATTAATAGCATAAAACACAAAGTCAAATACAAGTTAAAGACAACCGTGCTGGCGGGTGTCGCTGGTTTTGGGGGGGCGGGGGGCGGGGGGCGGAACAAGATTAGGCACATACCTTTCTACTGAAGCTCTCCCTTCCATTGTCTGTGACTCTAATGCAAGAATCTACAATCGCGCTTCTTAGTGGCTTCTGAAAAGGAATTCAAGTTTCAGTAAACGAATACTAGCATTTAACAAGAAATTAATCTCATTCCCTTCCCCAAGACTTTGTCATAGATTTCAAGAATGATAAAACATCTGATGTCCGTTAATTATATCAACATTTCTAACTTACAGGATCAAACGAACACACAAAACCAATTATAGAAATGGAAGAACTGAAAAGGGAAAATCTCCAATTTCAATCCTTTGATGTGGGGATTCTAGTTTCACAATGAAATCCATTCAAATCAACATGAAAAATTAAACCGAAAACATCATTAAAACTGTAGGAAATGGAATTCAAATAGAGTATATGCTTAAATAGTCCACTGTCAACATCAGAAACAAGGGAGGCACCAGTATTTGTCATTTGTTCCCTTGTCACAATCATAAGCCAACGAAAAACATTGAATCAAATGGAATTAAATATTCCAATGATTGACTCTTTGTACCATCTTAATCATCCTTATTTGTCAAATTTCCAACAAAAAGAAAAACCAATAATGGGTGACACATTTCTTGCCCAAATTACCAAATATAAAGGAAATCAATAACTTACGAACTATTATGACCTTCCTATCCAAAGAAGAAAAAGATACCCATATGGAATGAATCGAAAACATCATAGAAATTCCCAAGTAAATAAAGAATTCAAAACAAGATTATGATGAAAATGGGAATAGATTGATGAAGGTACCTGTGTGTCTGATGTGGGCTTTGATTTGAAGCTTTTGAGGCAATTTTCTTCAAGAACGAAATACCTTTTGCGAGTGTATTGTAATCCAAAGCGATTGGATCGAATCAGATACAACCATCCCTCCATTCCTCTGTTAGATTTTAATGAATCCATTTTTACAAAATTCGTAAAGAACCAAGAAGGTTGTTTAAAAAAATAGGGATGAATGAAAGTGAAGGTGGAGGTGGAGGTGAAGATGATGATCCTCTGATCCCGCAATTGGGAATCAGAGAATTAAAAAAAGTGAAACCCAGATAGGTTCTTGTTAGATTTTCCGGCAAAATCAAAACAACTTGTGTATTTTGATTCTATTCCCTCCCCTTTCCTTTATTTATTAATTACTATTCCTATTCATGCATTTCCATTTCTTATGATATATCTCTACTTTCTATTTCTGGATTTTTATCTGTTCTTACAAAATTGATGGTATCTGTTCTCTATAATCATCAATCGTTTTTGTATTTGATATAATTTTTTGCATAAAATATACACGATGTGGGCTCATTTATAAATAATCCAATCGTTAGTTAGTACAAACTAGTTAATTGAGATATATTTAGGGGTCGTTTACTAAACGCTTACTCGGTAGGTGTTTATTGGACAATTTTTCTCACTGGACGAACATAAGAAGATCCAAGAATCTTACATGATAAGAGCAATGGGAATGATAGAGAGTTTTACCAGGTAAGTGAGGGTGACGGCTCTTACCCAGGTAAGCACTTACCATATATGTTGTTGCACACGATACCATTTTGATATATTACAATCTTACCTAGAAAATAAATTATAATGTTGACTCATAAGAGTTTGCGTTTACCGGATAAGCATTTAGATAAACAACCTCTTATAAAAATAATTTAATCTATTTATTATGATCAACATTTTATATAAGAAATAACAAAAATATTTATTGGACCATATATCCATCATATAACATTAACATCAAATGTAATTTGCTCACATATAAAACCTTTATTTTTGAGAAAAACGCCATCCGTGGGACTCGAACCCACGACCACGTGGTTAAAAGCCACGCGCTCTACCAACTGAGCTAGAACGGCTTTTGCTATGCTCCTAAACTATTACCATACTCATAGTTCACAACAAGGTTACGCTAACAATTTAATTTTCACGATTAGATAACTTTTATCGGTAAGCGTTTGGTAAATGATAAAGTCTTTAATAAAATATAGAATCATCTAAAAACTAATATTAATTTGTAAAAAAAATTATATCGAAATTGGGATAACTTAGGCCTGATTCCTGTTTTGGTAAATCAGATCTACGTTTTTAAGATATGGAGCCAAATTTTCATATATTTAAGAGTTCTGTTTACCTAATGATTTGTGTCTTTCTCATAACTCAAGTAATTATAACGTGACATGTATATAGTTTTTTTATAAATGTCAATTAGATCGCACGTCATGTATAAAATTAACAAATAAATCTATAATACACGATGTAATAGTTATAGTATATAACATATAATTTTTTTACGTTTGACTACTAAAATTTCATGTTATATCAACACCAAACGTACGAAAATGGAAAGTGTCTCTTCAACAAGAGTGGATCATGAAAATCTGCAAAGGATAATGTGGCACATTGTTAGAGTAGGATTCTTTAGATTTTCTCATTTTTTTTGAATTTTTTAAAATATCAAATAAGTTAAAGACTTTTTTACCCTTAAATGATAATTATGTATTTCATCATAAGAAGGGTCATTTGGTAATTTAATAAGTTTTAACCTTCAAACTATTCAACGTGCTATAGGCATTCATTTTAGTCAATTCATCTCTTTTGTCTATTAATATCTCAAGGAGTAAGCATGATAGCAATGGGCATGAAAATTTTCTTTGGCTCCAAGATGACAAGCAAAATTTTCCAAAGTTAGATATTTCTTAGGTTTTTATGTTTTACCTTCCTAAAAAAGTTTGATGTATATTATCTATACTAGAAGGGGATTCGCACAATGCAGCGAAATACATCTCGATTTTAGTGTTCTATTTTTTTGTCTCAGACGATGTTATAATACGATTTTATGTGTTTTTGATAAAGGGATAATATTTTTATTTTTGAATAAAATATAAATATGAATATATCATAAAAAAATTGAAGAAAAAAATATTGATATTAATACTAAACTAACTATTTAAAAGAAAAATTATATTTTTTAATTAGTTTTATATTTTTGGTTTAATAATATAATTTTTATAAAAATAATAATTAAGTATTTTGTTAGAACTTAATGATTATTCTAATTATATTTTAGATTTTTTATATTTAAAAGAAGATGTCTATCATCTATTTAATTTGATTATGTTTATCTGTAGTTAGTTACACGAATTCAAACATGAAACTTTAATAGATTTTTTTATATTTATAATGAAATGTTTATCTTGTATTTGATTATGTTTATCTACAGTTAGTTACACGAATTCAAGCATGAAGCTTTAGTAAGTTGTACTTATACATAATTTACTTGTAATCTTGAATTTTAAGTAATATGCATCAATAAACAGTATTTCATGCATAAAAATGGTTTTTAAGAGGTTTTGTCAAATGTTTTATAATATAAAAATATCATTTTTTATACATGAAGTACTGTTTATTAATGCATTTTTACTTAAAATTCAAGATTACAAGTAAATTATGTATAAGTACAACTTACTAAAGCTTCATGCTTGAATTCGTATAACTAACTGTAGATAAACATAATCAAATACAGGATAAACATTTCATTATAAATATAAAAAAATCTAAAATATAATTAAGATAAATTCATTAAATTCTAACAAAATATATAATTATTATTCTGATAAAAAAATATATTATTAAATCAAAAATAAATTACTTCGTTATTAAATATAAATTAAATTATAATAAAAAAAATTGAATTAAATGAATTACAAAAAAAAAAAAACTTTTAAATAGGTAATTTGATATATTTATTTTTTAAATTTTATGATATCTTCCAATTTATAACTTATTTAAAAATAAAAACATTATCCATTTCTCAAAACTACATAAACACCATCTTAAAACCTCTACAGAGACGTAAAATCGAGTTATATCTCGTTGCATTGCGCGATTACCCTTCTAGTTATCTTACATGGTGATGAAACCGTACAGCATTTCTCATTTTAAGTGCATATTTCATCATTTGGTGGACATGAATTTATAATAAGAAGTTTCTTACAATAAGTTGTTTTTTTATGTATGAGGTCATTTTTCTCTTCAATTAAGTACATTTATATAATTGTTAATTGTTACTTATATTTGCAGCCTATTTTAGAATTTGTTAATAATTAAGTCACAAAACAAGCATTATAAGCTAAAATACAAAATCAAAAAACTACACCAATCATAAAAGTTAATATTACACATATGCTTACAACTAATCATTTTTATATGGTCTTTAACTTTAATGTCGAACCATTATTTTGCAACAAAAGATAAGAAAATGTATCAATGAAAATATATAATTTACATCTAAACCCCAATATATTACATGTAATTAGTTGCCAATTATCAAAGTACATTTTATCTCAACTTACATGTAATTAGTTGCCAATTATCAAAGTACATTTTATCTCAACTTACTACGAATTTTCTAATAATATATTTTCGCTAACGTCCAACACGAAGATAAAAATCAGCCGAACGCTACGAGTAAACTTCAACCAACAAATACAGTGAGGGGACTAAATTGCAACCAACAAATACAATGAATGGACAACACCAGAATGTGGTTGCCAATTGCCTGCCATGATCCATATTGAGCAAAACAATAACAATAATAATATTAATGATAATAGTAATAGTAATAGGGTAGAAGAAAAGGTTTGATCATTTTAAAGGAATAATAATGGGTAGAGGAAGAACTTGATGATCCAAGTACCAGCTTAAAAGTTTGATAAACAAACACCACAACATCCTTCCTAACAAATTTCATACATTCCCCATCCCCCACTTCATTCAAAGATCAAATGCACCACACCTTGTAACCTGTACACAATTAAAACCCCAATGTTATTTCCTTGTAGTATGTATGTATGTATGTATGTATGCTTAATTATACTTGCAAGAAACACACTGAACCCCATATTTACTTGCACCCACTTCCATTTTTATAAGAAAAACCAAAGAGACAAGATGATAATGTAGAATAACCAAACTAATCAATCAATTTCTTGCAGAGCAAGACTATGTTTGATTTCATTTAGGATTTCATATCCAACACTATCAGGATTTATAGAACAAATGAAACTTTAGTAGTCTTTTTTTATAGCTTAGTGGTAATTTGCTGCATCCCTTTAAGGGCAAATACCTTGGAGGTCATAGGTTCATTGAAAATAAATAATTACAAGCAAGGCTTTTTATCAAGTTAGTTGTACCTGGGATTGTACTGATAACATCACTTGTCATCTTCCTTGGGTGCTTTGTCCTCATCTTTCTTCTGCTCAGCCTGATAAAGAAATCAACTAATCACTCAATACCGCCGTACAAACTCATCTACCCGCATTTCCCCTCTCTTTTAAAAAATCATTCTTGAAAGATAAATGTTGATGTGACAGTATGTGTGTTGTGTACCAAGTACAACTGGGTCTGCCCACGGTTAATGGTAATTTCATACCATTTCTCTAGGGTTGGCATAAGTGAACTCTCCCAGAAATTGCAGTATCTGACTGGGTATAGAATTTTGTACTCACTAAAGAAAAATATAAGGAACTTTGCTGATTCAAACTAATGAGAAATTATAGCTTGTAAAAAAGCTTTCTAAAATTGGGAATGTTGCAGTCTTTCTAGGACATGTCAAAATGGAAACTATTGCAATTTTAATAGGATTGAGCATATTCTTAGCAAAGACGAATGCTGAACTGACCTCAGCTTGATTTTGCATTGAAGCAAGCAAATCTTTGACCGAAGGGTCATTGGGGTCGACTCCTGGGAGCTGCAAAACCAACATTAGACACGAATAAAATTGTAGAAAGAGAGAAAAAGTGAAAAATCGATTACAAATGATAAAAAAAAGTGAAAAATCTGAATGTAGACATACTGAAGCAAGAATTGATGACACAAATGACTGATCTGCCAACAGCTTGTCCATCTCTGCTTGGCCTGATTGATCTTTTGCACCTTCTTGCACAGACAATTGTAGAGCTGCAAAATACACCGCAGGCAGCAGAACCATTCAGTGATAAAGTTTGCAGAAGAGTTCACAATAGATGAGCTCAGTTAGGGTTAGATGAAGTTGTCTTCTTCAATTCAAATCTACCATGGTTTATGAACTTCCCTAAAGTGAGCACATGGTTAAATATATAATTATCATGTGCTAAATAATTCTATTACTTCACCAATTCTATGTATCCTTGTGCTGGCTGATATAAATCTCTTCATCTCACAAACCTGCTACACTCATCTTGTGTATAGTCTGCCATGTCTTTGTTGGGTCTTGCCATAAATATCACCAATTCCCCCAGCCATGCTATAAAACCTAATTTCAGTTTCAACACAACTAAAACACCTGAACCTTGCCGTCATATCATCCATCCCACCTTTATCTTACGACCAACATCGTGATCGATCTCTCTCCTGGCTCATAAAGAGGTCGAAAAACCTCAGGGCTTTATCACCACTAACCCCAAACACAAGTGGTGGATCTAGATTCTTTTAAAATTTTCATCAAGAGGGCCACTGTTTTAGCAATAGAAGATCTCAAGAACTTATTAATAGCTGATGTAATAAAAGATCAATAATATAAAACATAAATCATAGTTCTGCATATGTTTCCTAATATTCTTAAGATCTTCATGATACTAGATAATTTTTCAGCAGTAGAAGTTCCAAATCAACTCAAAGATTTAAAGTTTCAACAGAACACAAACGACTGAAAGAGTCACGACTTCAAACTTCCTAAGTCTAAATCTAATGGTAGACAAATGATGTCAAATTTTTCCATTTGTTCAGATATCATCAAAGACAACTGCATAGCAACAAACCTATGAATGACCATGGATATCTAGATCAACAAACAATAAGCATGTTTCAGCACAGTAACTTACCAAGTGCCAAGTCTTGATCATCAGTGGCTGCCTCTGACATATCAGTGTCTCTAGTTGTAACAGTAGCAGCAGGATCATCCATTGACATGGCAAGAGCTTGCTGTAGCAGCGCATTCTCATCATCCTGGCAGGAATAAGAAGCCTTAGTGTATTAATCATACTGTCTGCAATATATCTGAGGGAGTAGATAAAGGATTACAAAGAGCAAGCACACAAGAAGTCAGTTGTAAATTCTTAGGTTTATTCGAAAATGTATTTTCTTTTAGATGTGACTCGAACATAGGATGACAGAGATAAGTATGGTAATGAAAAGATAGAGTTAGGGATCCATTCAGTCTATGGTCATTACTCGTTAGTGATGGGCATGGATAAAAATGTAAAAGAACATAAAAGAATAAACATAGAGAATGCTTATAAAATATATTATTATCCAAGGCACATGAATGTTGCAGTAACATCTTACAGAAATTAATCATTTGGAATGCAAATGTATGTCTAGCTCAACATGACACATGACAACATAATCAATTAGCTCCACATATTAGATAATGTAGAATACCTAGCATTCTATTTTTTGAAGTCAGAAATACAAGCCTAAAAAGGTCTGTATGACATGTTAGGATTCTAGGTGGAGCAATACAAGTAATTCACATATACCTCTTGAGTCCTCAATGACAGAACATACAAGTCCTCTTAAAAAGTAATTAGTGACAGATATTCAGAAATCATGCACAGGCAGCTCAAACTAAAACAATGAACAGGGTACACTGCCTTGATAATAAATTGAGAACATATCATAAACAATTTTGTCAGAATGATTATAAGGAAGACCGCTTCATGTTGCCCTGTACCATAAATGAATGCACAAATGCATGTGGAAGAATAGTAATGAAATAGATGCTCTATTTGGTGGAACACAAGCTCCACAAGGATAAATTTAGAGTTCTGAAATTTCTTTTCAAGGCATACGATAAATGTTCACTCAAAATGGCATATCATATATATATATATATATATATATATATATATTATGAGCCAACAAAGAATCATGATACGCATAGTCGGTCTACAGGAGATAAAATTAAATTAAATACACTTGGGACAGCATCATGAGCATAGCCCTTCACACTGCAGCCTATTGAAGATCAAAATATGCAAATAACAGCAAGTAAAACTAAAATTCAAGACACTTGGTGTTGGGATGAGGATGACAGAAAAAACCCATTAAGAAGAAGGGATGCAACAAACTCTTAAATGGTGGGATGGTATAAAAACATGGAGAAGTATAAACTAGCCAAAAGAGAATCTACAATTGCAGTAGGAGATGCAAGAGGTAAAGCATGCAAAGAGCTAAATACACTAACTTAGGGACAAATGAGGAAAAAAGGATGCACGCAAGTTGACCAAAATAAGAGAAACAAAAACAGAGAATTAAAGTTTCGTGAAATGCATCAATAAGAGATATCAAGTGATAGACAATCTATCAAGGGCATAAGCTTATGAACCATGCAATTGAAAACTATGCAAGCTAGTTCTTGAGCATCAATCAGGAAGCTGCCACTAATGTTTCAAGAAATCATTTCAGTTTTATACCAAGTAGATCAATAATAGAGATTGCTTTCTCAAATAGACAACTTACGGAGAAATGCAAGGAACATACAAGGTATATACATATATATAAAGATGTATGATAGGCTGCCAAAGGTGATATGGTAGGCTCTTGAGAAGAAGTATGTACAATGTACTATGTTGTTATAGCGGTGAAAATACAAAATTGCGGTCAAGACCGATATTTGAAATAGCGGTGGTATAGCGGTCCAAAAATAGCAGCTCATATAATATTTCTTAGAACTATACAATATATATATATATATATGTATGCATACATAAACATATCATATGCATTAATCAAAAATATAGTTTCAACATCAAAACATCAACTAAACAAGTTTCACAAAACAAATTAAAAAAAATGTTCATAAACGAGCTAATCGCAAGCAATAGGTTCAGCATCCGAGTCAACATAGTTCTAAAGAGGCCCAAGCTAAAAATATTGGAATATCGGTCCGCAATTTCACCTCAAATATCGGTCAATTGTGCCGCTAGTATCAGAAACACAATATTCACCGCAATTTTATCTTAGTCCGCAATCCGCGCCGCAAATAACAGCATAGACAATGTATCTTACATGTTCAAGGATATGTATGACCACATGATAACAACGATGAAAGAATATCATGGTGTGGCACATGCTTCCTTACTACTATGGCGTTACATCAAAGTTCAATGTGGGCCCTATTGATTATGGATCACATGGAAAACAAACAATGTGGTCTATGCCCTTCAGCAATGATATAGCGGTAATTGGACCTAGAAAAGTTGTTAATGCTAAATGTAGGTTTGAAGGAACACCTCAACACCCTGGAATCTAAAGGTTTTAGATGTAAAAACAGAACAGAGAATGTGACATGAACTTCCACAGTGTTGATACGGCAGTGTAAGATGTGGTAACCATAGCAGGCCAAGAAGCAGTTAACAAGAACATATTTCATTATTTGACACCAGCTTTGGCGAAAAGATAGAGAGAGTGAAGAGGATCGTGATCACAGAATAAGAGCCTCCCGGTTAAGACTTAAGATGGAGACAAGTTTGAAGAGTTTTGTGTGATTGACATGTCCCATTGAATTTGAATGATAGGTTCTATATGACAGTGATAAGAGCTGCTAGAATTTGTGGAGCAAAATGTTGGGCCACCAAAAGTGTGAGTGGCAACAATGTGAACCTTGAGATGGATTTGGGACCATACACCAAGGGATATGACCAGAAACACGGATTCCCAAGAGAAGGTAACGTAACACTTGTTAAGGTTGTTTGATAATCTCCAATATAGACCTTTGAATACATTGCTTATAGGAAGTGACTTGCATAAAACAAAAATATAGTTAGCAGAGATAATGAAGAGAGATTTGCATAAGTGGTGTACATCAAAAGAGTTCTCTAGAAAAGAGCACATAAGAACATCTTCTAGAACCCTAGAGGGTTCCACCTACTTATGTTTGGTTTTGGGTTGGAACATTATATATTTAATATTGCTTTAATTTCAGCTACCCCTTCTGGATTGGATTGAAAGGCTTGCAGTTGTTCTTCAAATGATATCACACAGGAGTGGCTTTGAGGCAGCTTCCTACTTGTCAATGTTATGTTTCCTATCCTCTAACTTAATATGTTACATGCCAAATAAATAATGCAATGTCTGAACTTGCATGAAAGAAAATTTACAAGCTTGCCTCAAGACAATTACCGAAATTCTAGGTCATTTTTCTACTGCAAAAGATAGAACCACCGCTTCACACAGTGTTTCTATCCTTTGTCTTATGAAAAATTAAGCCTGTATCTTGTAAACCAAATACTGCATGATCCTTCAGAAAGGAAAATGATCCCTTACAGCTAAAGGGAAACATAATATAGATTTCAAAATGGTAAATAACAACTAGCAAGAAACATGGGAGCAACATAAAAGGTAAAAAAGATGAAACCGACCATTAAATCATCCTTTTTATTCTCAGATTCAGAAGCTGAAGTGCCAACATTTTCAGACATAGTTGCATCTTGTGAAGTAGACTCTCCTTCTTTATCTTGCTTTGAAGAATCATCTGCAGCCTTCTTTGCAGCAGCTTCTTGCCTTGCTCTCTCCTCTTCCATTGACACACGAAGAGCAAGTGCAAGCTCAGGATCCAGATTTGGATCTACACCAAAATCAAAACCAGATACACCACCAGCTGCAGCGGCTGCAGCTGCTGCTGCAAAACCACTTCCACCTTCTCCATCGCCAGTGAAGATAGGAGTACTGACAATAAACAATAACAATATCAGCCAAAACAAAGGCATGTGGTAAATAAGTGTGCAAGCAAACAATTATAAACCTCAAAAGAACGTCAGAGAGAGCATTAGATCCAGCCGGAACATGAACAATGTGACTGCTGTCATTATTATTTACAGCAGCAACCAGAGCCTCAAGCTTTTCGGCCTTTGCTTCATCCTCTTCACCAAAATTCACAACATCAAGGGCTACACTGTTCTTTTTCAACTTCTTCCCAATCATCTCCAATACTTTCTTATCATATTTTACAGGACTGAAAAACCAAGAAACGCAGAAAATAAGAACCAAAAAAATCAGAAGATACAAAAAAACTGCAATGTATAAAGGTGCATACCCTCCAGCAAACACAATTATCCTTTGTTGCTGCTTTTTGTTTTGGCGATGCTTCAAAGCCAACTGAGCAACCTGGATCCCAGCTGCCAAGTTCATTTCACCACCTATTTCTAAGCCTGAGTAACCGAAGAAAACATTTCATCTTCAGAGTTCATATGAGGATGTGTATGCCAAACTTCAATATGAAACGACGCACACTAATGACTAGCAGATAGCCAGTTACTATATATGGTGACATGACATTTTGGATTCAAAAAGCAGAACCTCCCTTCAAATAAAAGTACCATTATATCCCAACCCAATCAATACAACAAAAGAAACTATCAAACCACTATTTATCATTGAACAACAAAATTTGGCATAAATAACACCTGGATGCCAACCAGACAGGTTTATATGATTTTTGGACTTCAAGTTGCAGCAACTCTTTGGCTTCTCTTACTACGAATAATGTAACCATATATTCCTATTCTTATATTGCCAAATTACCAATAATAAAATTTAAATATGCTTTCAATCTGTAAGTGTGTAGTCAATTAAAGAAGCTAACCATGCATGCAGGCCAAGATCTTCCCAAGATCGCTAGTAGGAGTAACCAGAACACGGACACCTTTGCCAGCCATTGTCAATACCCCCACGGTATTTTCCGGATTGGACTGTAACAAAAAACAGCAACAATATTTCAGATTTTCATCAAACAAACCCCAAAACGTCAACTATCCTATTGGTGAAAATAATTTATGTGTACACTTGAAGGGATGAGCACCAAATATATCATCATTGACCCTCGACACCTACCTTTGTAGAATCCAAGACACTACTAACTAAACCTAAAACACACCATGTTTATCAACAAGTTCGTCCGAAACCAAGAATCACAGTATTAAGGTAGAAAGAATTATCATATGTAAAATCTTAATACTGCTCTGTACAGGCACTCTTTTTGATTGACTTGAAGAACTACTAACAAGGGCTACAGAATTGATCTTTAACGGTAATTTTTGCAACTGATATTATAATCTTGACATCAGCCAAAACGAAACCCAACTCATTTTAAACGAAAACATCCCCCAAAACAATAAGGTCCGCGTACATAAAAATTCTTAGCAACACCAAAACGAAACCCTAGAATGAACTATACTATACGCTTGCGTGTTTATATTTATGTAGACTACATGTATATCAAATTACCTGGGTTTTAGCGCCACAAATCAGATTAACAGCGTCGGCCTGAGCCTGAAACCTAGTGGGCGAGTAATCTCCGTTGCGCATCCATTCAGAATTATCGATGCAGATCATTGTAGCCTAATGAAAATAAGAAAGTAGAACCCTAGTTTTAGAAATAGAAGGGGTAAATGGAGCAGAAAAGATATATGGCAAATTGAAAACGTACCTCGAGCACCATGGTTGAAGATTGAAGAAGAAATCGAGTAAAATCGGAAGAGTGATTATATTTGGAGGAAGAGAGAGGAATCTGGAGTTTTCTTGCTCCCGACGATAGCTGCTTGCTCTTGATACGATCGTAGATCCGTAAAACGCATATACAGCCCCTCCAATATTTGTGAATGGAAAAAAGAAAAAAAAAGAACTAGAGGGCACTTTAAAAATTATGGACTAAATTGGACGAGAAAGTAACGTATTTTAACTTAATTTATATTTTGAGTAATGTATTTTAAAAAAATTTATTTTTATATATAAGATGTAAAGTTTTAAACATTTAAGTATCCGAATAACCGGTTACCATACTGATGTGGCGAATAATGTGGTATCCAACTCAATATTAAAATATCTATGTTGATATCACTCGTCATATCAGCATGGTAACCGGTTAATGTTTCAACCGGTTATCTGGGTATTTACATTACTTTACATATTATGTACCAAAATGAAAGTTCTGAAAATATGTTATCCAAAATAAAAATCAAGTTAAAATACATTACTTTTTCATTCGACTTATCCAAAAATATTATATAATCTATTGCATAATAAAAATAAAAAGTGATTGTAAAATTGTTTGGTAAGTAACAAAATTTAAATTACAAATGCTTCAAAACAAACAACCGCGTTCTAATTTTAATGGACTTGATTTGGGTTGTGTTCTATTTGTTTTCAACCGTGGTTTTGTAATTTTAAACTAAAAACTGAAGCATATAGTAGTATCTTCTAATAAGAAGTTGCACATTGCAAATGGTTTTAATCCCTATAATTTTTCACTATCAAAACAATATTTAATTAGTCTTTTTAACCAAGCAAGATTATGTTTGGCAACTCTAAACTAACTTGTAATTTTTAACTTGTTGAAAAAACCTGTTTGAATGGCCTAAGCTAGAATTTAAAAGGAATTTGACTTTAAATGAATTGGAATGAAATTTGACCATGCGTTTGGCTGGTAAAAATTGGAATGAAATTTCTCAATAGAATTGGAACAATCCTCTTTGTTTGGAATATCCCACTCATCGCCCCGCCCACACCAACGACCATGTCAATATTGTCGTATTCACAACAACCACCCCGCCCCGTCCCTACCCAAACCCCGCCCACCCCCTGCTCCATATGTGGGTGTTAGCGGGGGCAGACAGGGGGTAAGGCGGTGGGGGTGGGGCTAGATCGCAGAAGTAGGTGGCAGGGTGATAGTCGTGACGACTATAGCGGTAGGATGGTGGTTAATGGTGGGTTGGAGTAGGGTAAGGTAGGTGGGGGTGGGGATGGGTGGCAGCTGTGACGACGACAGTGGTGGGATATGCAGTGACTGACCGGGGGGTGAGTGTGATGACAACAGTATTGACAGGGTAGTTAGTGGTGGGGTAGGGTGGGTGGCGGCGACAGTAGCGGTGTGGTGTTGGTGGGGGGTTAGAGGTGGGACATGACGAACAATAGTAGCATGGTCGTGATGGGTGGTGATTGAATTCAATTCCTTTAATTATGTCAACGAATGATGAATTTATTAATTTGTGAAATTCAATGGAGTTTAAAGGATTCTATCCATTTCAAGAAATAAACCAAACAAATGAATTGGAATTTGGTCAAAAGAATCCGTCATTCCAATTCCATCAAATTCCTTCGAATTCCACGAACCAAATGACCCCTAAAATCCAAAAAAGGAAACAAAAGAGCATCAAGATGAAAGGAACAAAAAAAAAAAAGAAGCTAAGACAAACGAGAATCCATAGTTAAACACAACCTTAAGATTCCAAAACACGATGAAAATTAAAGTCCTCGATTTTGTATCAATTTCGCATCCGATGGAGGTTCTTGTTACTTGTGTTAAGAATCAAACCAGAGATTAGGAAGAGACCAAGGGAACGAATGTAAGATTTGTTATGTAGAATTTCATATATAATAGAGTAATTTAAATACCAGAGGAAATCAAAACCTTGGGATCGTTCTAATTGAAATCGTTGCATGTTTGATTTGATGGAATATTTTTGAGGGATTTGGATTTCATGAAAGAATTTGGAATTTTTGGTGTGTGGATTATATGATTTGGAATGAAAATAAGTTCCATTTTTTTTTTTATAGATAATTTATAAAATCAAATTATTAAAATTCTTAATCAAGTAGTATATCAGATAAAAAAAATTCAGTATTGTCCAAAATTTTAACGTTTTCAGTATGCTATGGAGTTGGTATACGCATCAGCAGTGTGTTCCAAGAACTGCTTCCATGAACACTATTTACGAAGAAAAATGTATATATATATATGTATCCCGTTACTCGGCTCCGCTATCATCGAGTAACATTAAGTTTCTCTCCATCGAAGCTCAACATGTACCAGGCCGTTCTTTGAATCTATCAGATGAAACTTATGGTTAATCCTCCCGTTGTTCACTACATCAGCGAGGTTTATATCCACGTACCCCAGTAATTCCTGCAAAAACCATCAGCATGCTTTAAACCGAACCGAACCAAACCAAACATAACGACCCCACACAAAGGTAGGGTCACTCTACCCCAATGGTTGTTGCCTAAGGTACACATATGAGACTCGAATGGATGAGAGTGAATTAATTGTGGATGGTTTTAAAACATGGGTAGTTTAGTAATTTACCAAACCTGAGACAACAAGTTTTTGTTCTACATAGCAAATGCATGCTAAATAATGTACTTTAAAACCATAAAATAAAATGTATGACAAGACCAAGGAAAGACGGATATACCTTTGAGTAGAAACTCATGCGCGATCTCTTGCTCATAATTTGAACATGTATCTTGTCATTTATAGGAGGTTCGTCGAGCATAAACTGGAACTCTTCGTTCCACTTAGGATCTCGACTTCTTTTAACAATCTGTTGTCAAGAAGTTTAAAGGTCAAACGGTGGATTTTCAACTTCAAAATTAATATGGATTCTCAATATTTTCAAGAAAGAAGTCGATGACGATTTTAATGTTTATAGTATATACTATAAATATGAAGTTGAAGAAAATGTCGAATTTGAAGAAAACCCGGATCAATATGAATTCGAAAAGCAATAAGTTTGACACAAAAAGTCAAACCAAAAAAAAAGCCCATATGGTATCTCACCTTTGTTTTCTTTGTTTCTCCTCTAAATATCACCATGGCATATGGATTGTTGTGATGCTCTCCCTCTACATCCTCGGCCCCTTGGACCGTCACCAAAAGTACGCCGGCCCCACTTGGGCTTTCGCCACCCAACCCCACGCCATTCTCTTTCGGGACGGGCATGTTGAGGGGCCCACTTAATACTTCGCTATCCTCCTTGAATGGTGCATAAGTCATCTCCAACACAATCTGCCCTCTCTGTTGCTTCTTCTGAGGATCGGCTATGTTGGTGTTCTTTAGCAAATCAAGAGTTAGTTCCTTTGTTTCGTTGGGTCTTAGCACCTTCAATGGCACTATTTGCATCCCCAATCGATCATGGCTCCCTACCTAAAGAACAAACACATTTATTAAACAAACCAAACTGTTTGGTCCTATAAAGGAGTCTATTATGACATCTATGGGTTATTTGGTTGATTTTTCGTCAAGTCCTTAATGGATAAAGTTATCTGTATGGATAAAGTTATCTGTATGGATTAATTTGTCTGTATAGATCAAGAAGGGTTTTGTTTGGGAGGGCTTTTTCATAGATGGAAGAAGCACATTTTTTAATTGGGAGGGGCAAGTCCGGAAAAAACTTGACCATCTCCATAAAGCAATCCTAGAAGCTGACTGAATAAGCTACTTTCTATATCATTAAGTCACTACCACACAATCACGTATAGCTGACCGAATAAGATACGAGTCCCATTAAGGCTCTTAGACATATTCGGTGTCCAACAAAACAGATTTTGTTGGAGCGATCCCACTCAAAAGCAAAATCTAAGAGGGTGAGATGTATGCAAACCTGTCCTCTACCCCAAAGGGTAGTGCGGATTTACATTTCTACCCATGGGTATTTCAATCATTTTAGTTAGTCCTAAGAAACAAATACGGGCGTAGAGAGAAATGGGGGTACCTTATCCCAATCATAGACATTAACTTGAAGAGTTTGAGCTTGAGGGTCCTTAACTACAAGCTTGAAGGTCTCATTCCACACGGGATTTAACGTCTTTTTCTTGATCGTCGTTTTCTTTGAAGGCAACATCTCTCCGCTTAACTTAAGCTTGACATATGGATCGGATAATCCCAATATGTCCATCTTCATGAGCTTTGTTGCCCGTAAAACCTTAACATGTAGTACTCCAACGGGCTTCTTCATAGCACCACTAACAAAAACATATTATGAAAGAAAAAGAAACATATTAGCTACGAGTTTGAACATGTATTACCTATTTGCCCATCGTCATTAATAATTTGGGCATACAAGATTTATTTATTCATCTTCTTTGAAGGGTATTTTAGATATTCGACTTACAACGAGGAATCAAGAATGGGTATTTCAAGAGTTTGTGGCCATAGGTAAAGTTTTGCGACTTCCTTTTTAATGATATCCTGCAAAAAACCGAGATACATTTGTTGTTAAAAGAATGCATAATCTCTTTTGATCATACATCAACCAACAAATACGAACCTGCACTAGTCGATAAAGGCCAGGGATGGACATAAGATCACCACCAAGAACCTTCATACCGAAGTCAATATGAGGCTTTAAAAAGTTTAACGAAAGGATTAGAAAGACCCAATAAAATAAAGTGATAAAACAACCGTAAGGATCTTATTAACGGGTACCTTATCCATCAAAGATACGACAACATTGGAAAAACACGGAAAACTTGGGACAAGAGGCTTCAATGTTACCCTTGGAATAGCAAACACTTGTAAATCCACCAACTAAGAAGCAACCACAATTTCACAATCAGACGAATAAACAAACGCCATCTCCTAAGGGGCATAACTGTAATTTACCACATTTTCATCTTACCTGAATCTTGATACGCAAAGATGATATCTTTACAGCTATGACTATATTTGGATTTCCAGCCCATTTAATTGCTGGTTCTATCACTAGCTGGTTCTCATTGGTCTCGTAGACTTTAACACCTGCCGATCATTAACAAAAGAAATCATACGACTAAGAGGATGTTTACTTGGTGTTGATAGTCTCTTACTGGGTAAGAGCCTCTTACCCGTTAAGAGATGATGTTGTTTACCTACACTCCATGTTCTAAAAAAAGCGCCTTGGCGGAGGCACAGTTTTGCTGCCACGTTAACCCCTTGGCATGGACACAAGGCGTAGAGCTCGTTATGGTGTCCATGGCCCGGAGGAATTTGCAATTTTTAAAACTTGAATAGGAGTAAATGTAAATATAACTTTATAGTTTTTACAAACCAAATACTTCATCAACAAAGTGGGGGGAAAAACCCCTAAATTACTTCTCAGCATACAAAAAATATTGCTCGATTACTTTAGTTTGCTGTTCTTTGATTTCATTTCTTTGATTTTGCTGTTTGATTACCAAACAGAGACTATAAACAGCGACTTACTTTGTATATTTCATATCATTGTTGTACTCTCTATAAATATCAAATTATCGATTCATGGTTCTTCTTTTGTTTATCGTTTTATATGAATTTAAATTGTTAATAACTTAATCATTATTGTTCAAGAAACATAAAAACACACACACACACACATATAATATAGATTTGCCGCCTTAAGCCACGCCTTGGAAAACACCATGGCTTCGCCGTAACTCGTAAGGTTTGAGGCTTGACCTTGCCGCCATGCCACTCCTCACGCCATTTAGAACCTTGCCTACGCTTCTGACTAGCCTAGGGGATGACTGAGTCAACCACCAATATGTATTGACTGAGTCAACCACCAATATGTATTGACCGAGTCAGACAATGCTTATCCAACTTCTTTTTATCGGTACACACTTACTACAAAAATACTTGATAAACAACCATTTTCAGTCGGTGCTTACCCAAACAGCACGCTTACCTTGAATGATAGGAGGAAGGGTCCCGAGGCTTAATGTCTCAAACGTGATTGCTTCTATAGGACGGTGCCCATGCCCAACATAATCGGCTACTATTGGTTCTGTTGTCTGCCTTATCGTAGCACAAATTGCCTGTAAATTTGAAAAACTTTACCGCCTTTTGCCCCAAAAGAACGGGAAAAAAAAAGAACTTAAAATGTTCGGTTTCTTACAATGTACCTTGTCAAGATAAGGCCACATATTCAAAACAAACCTGTTCAGCCAATCAACCTGTAGGAATGCGAGTTAATGAATCAAGCATGATATGGAAAACATAGTATTGAACGTCGTAAAGGAGACACATACACGATCATAATCAGGATTCTTTAACCAAAGAGGAATCTCGGGTATTAAATCTTGTAGACTTGTTGTATCAAGCTCAGAAATTGGCCTCGTAACTGGATCCTGAAGTAGCACACAAAAGAAAGTGTTAGGTTAGAAAAAACAGCTAATAAGACAAGTCTTAAATAAGTAAGACAAGTGTTACTTCTAAAGATTAGACTTTTCTAAAGAATATACGAAACTAGAAGCATACAAGTTATCATAGCAGTTACCACCACAAATAAGTCATCGATGCATCAAAGATTAGAGATTTGCTTTATGGATTGCCATTGTTGATACATTGAGGATCATTTTGACTTTTTTGCACATTTGACTTTGACAAATTGTTGGAGCATTGATTTGGGATCTCTTGTTAGGCTATTAAGGATAATTACTTCATAACAATTAGGTTACTTTTTGATATTGAATGTATCCACTAACAATTCAATGAAAACCATTAAAGAGAATAAAGAAATGGGAATAAAGGTGAAACTTTACATAAAATAAAGCTTAAAACTGTTCAACAGCAGAAGATTTCTAAGAATCATTCACAATTTTCTCTGCACATGTGTGCTTCCATCAAAATCAGAAAAGAACCCATTAAACTAAAACAAAAGTATCAACTAAAAGCCCTCGTATGTTCTTGAACAAGTTGAACAAATACCAAATCCATAACCATCTGTTCTTGACATGCAAGTGTTTGATCAAAGGAAAACCCTTTAAATCAAAGATGTAAATTGAGTTGGATAAGAGCATTGACAGTTGAAATCCAAGAAAACCCCCCAAAAAGAACAAAGAACCACTACTAATTGGTCATCATTCATCAGATAATTAAATCATAAATTTCAAGAAAGTTCATCAAAGAAGATGAAAAGGTGAATCAGAGGTGAAATTTTGCATACAAAACCAAGCTTCAAATCATTCAACTTTTGCTCTTCGCATGCAGTGTTTCGATCATAAAAACAAGGAAAGGGAAAGAAGAAACTGCTACAATACTTCAAATTCAAATGTACCCATCAGAAACGCAATCAAATTCAAGACAAGGGATCAAAAAAGGGGATAAAAATTAAACATCAAAATACGATTTCTTGTTTTATAACCAAGAACAACACCCAGATGACACAAATCCTAAATTTTCCAGAAACACTCTTCATTTAGTTTCGACATGCAAGTGTTTCAATCAAGAATCACAGAAACTAAAGATTACCTTAAATGCTTCATTCTTGGGGTCGGAATAGATGAAGAAATAAAACCCAACACAAACACCAAGAACAGTCCCAATTCCAACACCAATGATTCCCCAGAAAATGCTAAGAAACCCCATGGATATTTGATTCAAAAACCCCCTTTCAGAAAGAAGTACAAAACAGGGCAGTTGAAGAAAGATAGAAAAACAGAGTGACAACCAGAGTCTTAACGAATAAGGAAAGAAGATTCTTTTGTATCGAAACGGCGATGAAACCTGTAAAAAGATGAGTCGAAATATAGAGCTGAGGGAGAGTTTGGATTACTTGGGGAACTTTGTCTATGTATACGCACACAGACAATTGCACCCTCGTGGAAAAGGACTGGGTGGTGCGACGGAGGGAGGACTGCTACCCTCCAACTGTCAATTTGTTTACTTCTACAAAACGGAAAACAAAAATCAAATTTCTACTGCTGGTGGTGGTGGTCATGGGGTCAAATAGCTCAGGATATAATTTACACCCCAAGACCCTAACTTTTACCATAATGACAGTTTTTTCCTATTTTCCATAAAAAAATTACATAATCAATCCAAACCAAACACAACCATTCAACTAGTATGTGTATGAGTTTGAAGGGTGAAATGTACGTAGAACTGTTTGCTACCTTAAAGAGTAGACTGTACAAATTGTTAGAGTTTTTTTTTAGAAAAGATTTGGATATTTTAAAAGATTTGTCAAAAAACACGTATACATGAACCCATCATTGATTTGTTGCCAAAATTCGCATACCCACAATTAATTGTCACCTAAAATATTAAAGAAAAACATCAAAATAATGTCAATTTTTCAAATAAAGATGTGATTCGTGATGGATTGAATTTTTAGCCAAATGACAACACCATTTATAATACGTAGTGCAAATCATATAGCAAGTGGACAACAACGTACGTTGATGACATATGTTTATATTACATATATTTTTTGAGTTTTTATTAATGTAATTTTAATAAATTTTGGGTAATAATTAAGGTTGATATTCAATTTTAAGCTCGTAAATTTTTCATGTCTCAGATTTGAAGAAACCCAATTGAGCGGTTTTTCATTTTTTATGATCATTTATTTGGTCGTACAAATTTGAAGAATTGGTATTTCTATTTTATTAATTAAGAATACGTAGAAATGACAACTATAAAAGACACTTTATTCTCTTTTCGAGTTTACCTACTATATCATGTGAACGATGGTACAATATATGTGTGTTAGATGTTTATTGTTGAAAAGTCATGCAACAATTGTTATCATGTACCTTTTGTGCATCTTTCTAAACATGAGTTAAATCTCCATCATTCGGAAACGGTGGATTAAAAAAGAGTCACACAAAAGTTCCATTACACGCCTCTTCAACTAGCAAATAAAGGCTAGGCTTTGAGACTCATCTCCATAAGTAGTCAGTTCACTACAACAAAATTGGATTTATAGGACACCCTCAATCTCTAAGCGTCCCAATAAACCACTTCATATGACTTAATTTATAGGATCAAAATATAAAACGTCTTATCTAACGGTGTTGTAATAAGTTTATATAACGATTTTGGACATCTTAACAAGTTTTTTAGGACATTTTTAATACAAAATGTCGCATTAACAACTTTATAGGACACTTTTGAGAAAATGTCCCATAAACTCAATTTTTTAAAGGACATTTGTTTTTATAGGATAATTTTTCAAATAGTGTTTTATAAAGTTGCTAATGGAACGCTTTATATTAAAAGTGTCCTAAAAAACTTATTACGACGTCAAAAAACGTCATATAAACTTTTTACAAAGCCTTTAGATATGACACTTTATTTTTTTTGTCCTATAATCTAAGTCTTATAAAGAGGTCTATTATGACGCTTAGAACTTGGAAGTGTCCTATAAACCCGATTTTGTTGTAGTGGTTTGAGTCTCTTAGGCTACTGAAAATTTTCTTAGATTGTTATTTTCAGGACCCTATTTTTAGTCGGGGTCCAGCTAGTCTCTGCATCCACATTTACAAAAAAGACATACATTATGCACAATCACAATGTTTTATTTATTAAAAGTTATGCTTAGATTCTTATCATCTGTAAAGAGTTGTGACCCTTACAGTTCTAAAAAACATAAAGAACCGTGTACCTTCACGAGGTACATTTTGGCGCATTGTAAATATATATTCTCGTGCCCTGATACTAAGATAATGAAGTAAAGTACAACGTCTATTTTCCTAAATCTCCTTTCATCTCGTTCTATTTTGAGTAGGTTTTGTTATAAAAAAAAATTGCAGAAGAGACGTCTCAAACATGAGCTTCGTATTGCACATGTGGTTGCTTTTTATGAGAGACACATTTTATAAAAACTAACTGTATTTCAGATAAACACATCTTAGTGGAAAAAATATTTCAATACCAGTATTTTCTATAAGTTTACAAAGATAAAATCTAATCCCATTTTTTCATAAAATGAAAATGATGCAATCGAATAAAATCAATGCTTAATGATTAAGTTATGGTTTTGTTATAAAAAGTAAAAAATGAATCAACCACTCTTTGGAATTGAAGTTGTTGAACAAATCAAACAGGTTCGAATTTGCTATAAAAGTAAAAAGTGTTGTCAACATCAATACTCATGTTGCTCTTCAGTTTAATAAAAGTTTAAAAATATACAATAAACGAGGCAGATTATAAATATGTTTGGAATAATGATAAATACAAAAGCTACAGAAAATCGAGCCCAAACTTATTAATTATTATAAGGGAAAACTACAATAAAAACTAATAAACTTTTTTGTTTGGAATGATTAAGTTCTTGAACTTTTTTTTGGAACAAATAAGTCCTTGGACATTCCAAAACATGTTAAATAAATCCTTGAACATTCCAAAATATGTTAAATAAGTCCTTGAACAATTTTTGGAACAAATAAGTCCTTGGACATTCCAAAAAATGTTAAATAAGTCCTTGAACAATTTTTGGAACAAATAAGTCCTTGGACATTCCAAAAAATGTTAAATAACTCCTTGGACAATTTTTGGAACAAATAAGTCCTTGAACAATCCAWAACATGTTAAATAACTTCTTGAAAAAAATAAAGTGGTAAAATAGTGAAAAAAATCCGGAAAAAAACTCAATGAACATTCATATTTTGAACGATTAAGCCCCTAAATATTTTTTGAACCAAAAAGTATTTAGATCTATAAAATTAAACAAATATAACAAAAAAGCACTTACATTTACAAAAAAATAATTACCATTTTAACTAATTGTACAAGTCATAAGAATGTATCCAACATGTTTTATAAAAGTTCAAGAAATTATTTAACATGTTTTGGATTGTTCAAGGACTTATTTGTTCCAAAAATTGTTCAATGACTTATTTAACATTTTTTGGAATGTCTAAGGACTTATTTAACATATTTTGGAATGTCCAATGACTTATTTGTTTCAAAAAATTGTCCAATGACTTATTTAACATGTTTTTGAATGTCCAATGACTTGTTTGTTCCAAAAAAAAGTCCAAGAACTTAATCATTCCAAACAAGAAAGTTCATTGGTTTTTATTGTACTTTTTCCCATTATTATAACAGAAAACTACGATAGTTTTAGAAAGTAATGATAAATTACGATTATTTTTACTTGTTAAATTGGGTGTAGTTTATACATTTTCTTTTTACACTCATCTACGTCAAACCTCTCTTTTCTTAAAAAAATAAAATCTCTCTTTTATATATTAATACATGATTTGATCTGATTTTGATCTAAACAAGGTGTATATAACAACCTCATACATTCATGATACATAAAACATTATCTTGTTATTTAGCGACATAAAATTCCATTAATGTTTTACAAAAGACATAATAAGGGCGGTAAACGAACCGAACGAACACGAACGGAGGCTCGTTCATGTTCGTTCGTTTAACTTGACCGAACAAAACACGAACGGTAAACGAATGAAAATCTTTGTGTTCGTGTTCGTTCGTTTAGAAATCAGGTGTGTTCATGTTCGTTTATGTTCGTTCATTAACATGCTAAACGAACGTAAACGAACGAACATAAACGAACAGGCTAAACGAACATAACTAAATATTATTTGAATTCAAACTAAATAAATAAAATATTATATATTAAATTTAATATATAAACAAACGTTCACGAACATAAATGAACGAACGAGACTCTTGTTCATGTTCATTCGTTTAACTTAACGAACAAAAAAAATGGTCCATGTCCGTTCATTTATTAAATAAACGAACATAAACGAACTTCTCGTCGAACAGTTCGGTTTGTTTACAGCCCTAGACGTAATAATAAAAGACACAGGGGCCGTTTACCAGACGTTTACACGTTTACTTAGGTAAGTATTTACCAAGTCACATTACTTTACCGGATGAATATGGTAAATACGAAGAACTTTACACAATAAGAACGAAATAAAGACCAATAGTCTTACGCGGTAAGTGAGAGCTACGACTCTTACCACGAAAAGCACTTACCGGGGAAATTTTGCATATAATGCCATTTTGGTGGCCTAAAATCTTATCTGGAAAGTAAATGATAGTGTTAAATTTTATCGATAAGCATTTTTCGGATAAGTGTTTGATAAACGATCTGATAGATTTAAAAAAGATATTATCTTTAAGTTGTAATTTGTAGATTCTATCTTATCAACTTGTTACTTATTTCATTTTAAGATGGTCAAAAAAATATTTTTCATTTTTTTAAAAAAAATAAAAAATTGACCATTTTAGTTGAATGGGTATTATTTTTTTAATAAGATGGCAAAAGTTTTTATTCACATGAAATATTTAAAAAGTTATGCTAATCTTTTATATATATATTTAAATAAAGCTTTTCAATAAAAGATAGTTATTCATTAAAATAACAAAATATATGCACAATTGTCAAATAAAATATATTAATAAATCATTTATTATAATATCTTAAAAGCATTACTTGAATTCATATTTTATGGTTTATTTAGGTTATTATCTGTTAGCGGTTTAATAAGTTTGATGACATAATAAATAACTTATTAAATAAATTTTTAGGAGGGGTTTTATATACAAACTAGTTGTATACTCGTACAATGTGGCGGGAGCCATGAATTTTAACGATTTTGAAGTTTCACTGGTTTTATAAGATAAGATTTAACGATGATATAGGTTACACTTGGTCCTTACA